ATAGACAAATTACATGCAAAGCAAGATGATTTGTCATAATTGTGATGATTATGGCTTACAGCTCATGAAAACCCCAAATCCACAATCTCAGAAAATTAGAATATTGTGAAAAGGTGCAATATTCTAGGCCTGCAAAGGGTTCCTGAGCCTTTAAATGGTCTCTCAGTCTGGTTCAGTAGGAATCACAATCATGGGAAAGACTGCTGACCTGACAGTTGTAAAGAAAACCATCATCATTGTTCAAGAAACTTTTGGACGATTTCTTAAGGGACCGTAATATACAGGGGTACGGGTACTCCTAGAATGAGATCCTAATAGGTTGGACTTGATGGACTAATGTCTTTATTCAACCTCAAATACTATGTAACTATGTAATTGACGCCCTCCATAATGCGGGGGTGGGGGAATTTAAAAGAGAACTATGAGGGGAGTGCTTTTCACTCCCCTCATAGTTCTAGCCGACCTGTGACAATGAGACTGTCACAGGTCGGCTCAGTAGATCGGGAGGTGAGCGAACACATACCGGGTTTGGTCACCTCTCGATCCTGTCACAGCTCTCTGCCGTGACAGGGGGAGGGGCTGGATTCCCCCCTCCCCGCTCCGATCCGCCAGCGCTGAATGGCGGAACGGACGGGGGAGGGGACAGCTCCAGATAGGCAGAGCCAGCTGTCACTGGGCGGATCCCGACGTCTTAGACGCAGCTCCGGCTGCGGCATCTCAGTATACCGCGAGCTGTAGCTCGCGGTATACTGAGCTTAGGGTAACGGGAGGACGCTAGTTTGTGTCCTCCCGTTACCCTAAGGAGAACTATGGGGAAAAACACTGACCCCATAGTTCTCCTTTAAAACATTTTTGTGGGGTTTTTTTGTTTTGTCTGTGTACATTTTTATTTATTTTGTGAGCAATTTTTTTAAAAACTTTTTTTACACTTAACTTTATTGTTATCACATAGGCTGCTAAGAAGTTCCCTATATGATAACAAATTACAGTTACAGGTCCCCTTTATGGAGACATCAGAGGGCTCTAAATGAAGCACAGATCTGCTTCATCAGCTTCTCTCTGGTTTCTGTACTGGAGAGTGACAGAGGAATGTGGAAGTGATGTAGTATACATCACTTCCTGCATTCAGAGAACGGGAGGAGAGTGGAGGGAGATCGGGTATTGATCTCCCTCCGTTCTCAGTGCACAGAGCCGCCACATCGCCCGGGATGGATTGCTTTAAAAAATGGCTAGATGTTTCTTAATGCACAACATTTAACACTACTAATATTCCTAACAATTGATTGTTGATCCAAGCAATATTTGAGTGCCTTAGGGGATCAGGAAGACATTGTTTCCTATTATAACAAATAGGACCATGCATTTAAAGTGGCATTAAAGACAAATTTTTTTCCCCCTCACCCTAACGTTAATTAAAGCACTTACCTTAAATTATGCCTTTTAATACGATCATCTTCTTTCCTGTAGTTTTCATCTGTCCCTCCAGCGCTGAGGCGAATCTCCGATCCAGCGCTTACTCCTCTGAGCTTGCTGGCACGTACTCTCCCATGGTGTCTCTCTCCCACGTGTCCATAGACTTACCTTGTGTCTTTTCTCGCGTCCTGGCCGAAAATGTGAATTGCGCATGTGCCGGCCCCAAGATGCTACGGCCGCCCGTGCAGTTTCACATTTTCGAACAGGAGCGCACAGGGAACACACAGGTAAGTTTAAACCGCTGTAAAAGCGTTTTGTATTTGTTTTTAACTTTTTGCATATATCTACTGCTTGCTAGCAGTAGATGTATGCAAAAAAAGCTGAGGGTTTAGAAACCCTTTAAGGGTTTTTTCTTGCCTACCGCTTAATCACTCGTGGTTTTGGGGTTCTGTGGATGCAGTTTTCTAAAGAACACCCCTATACTGCATGGGCTAAGTGCTTGTTTTGGTCTAGGGGCTCAAATAAACAAGAAATACTCACTCGATCCGCGGTCCTGTGGCATTGACCGCTCACCTCTCTTCCTCTCCACTCTGGCTGTGGCTGTGGTATGTCCCTCAGTGTACTCAGGTCAAATGCAGGTGAATGGACTGCATTAGATGTGATGCTGTCAGGGGTCCTTAGGGTCTTAAGTTATTTATTTTTGTCCATTGGATGAACTTGATGGTCATGTGTCTTTTTGTAACCTAACTATATAACTATAATGTATAAATATAATGTATTTATGTAAATGTGATTACTTAATTTACCAATTAAAAGTCACATAACTGAGGATTTAAATTATGGCAGTGAACTTGTAAACGTATTATTTGTAAAATGTTTTAGTGGAACCAGACCCTACATGAATGCCTAACTCCCTAAGGGTTGTGACATTCATTCTGATGTTCATATTGATGTTCATAATAGGGTAGTGAATTGCAAGGTGTGTTATAGAACTGAGGCACATGTCACCGCACGTGCACGATGACGTCACCCAGTCGACTCTCCACTGCGCATGCGCGTGACGTCACCACGCGCGTGCGCGATGACGTCACCCCGCCGACTCTCCACTGCGCATGCGCGTGACGTCATCGCGCACGCGCGGCACTCTTCTGATAACTGCCGGGAGCTGTTTTATTCGCCAAAGAATTTGTGTTTCTGAGATTTACATAGCTCTGCCACACCATACAATACTGCCCGCAGGGCAGAAGACCTGATTTTTCTCTGCTGCAGTTACAGTAAGTAACACTTACAGGCCTCCTCCCCACCCCTGGCTTATGACGGGATAGTTAAAGGAGAAGCAGCAGGCTATGAGCTCATTTTTCTCTGGCACTATTCTCTCCTTAAGTCAGCATGTCCCTTGTTAGCGCATGAGCGCTGCAACAAAACTGATTGGCTACTCTCCCTCCCCCACTCTGAGCTCTGCTGTACAGTGCAAAACTTCAAGTACTTATACTGCTTGCATTTAAAAATATTTTAATGATGTATTAACCACTTCAAGACCAGGTGTTTAGACCCCCTTCCTGGCCAGGCCATTTTTCAGTATTCAGCGCTGCAGTACTTTCACTGACGTTTATTCCGTCATGCAACGCTGTACTGAAATTAATTTTATACCATTTTTTGGGGACAGATAGAGCTTTATTTTGGTGGTATTTAATCACCACTGCGGTTTTTATTTTTTACTATAATTAGGAAAAATTACAGAAAATGTTTTATTTTTTTACATTATGTTAGGAAACATTTATTATTACCCAGTTTTTTGGTAAAATATAAAAGATCGGGTCACGTCGGGTAAATAGACACCAAACATGTCAAGCTTTAAATCGCGAAATCGCAGAAAACTACCATGCCCAAAATTGGCCATAGGTGACACTTTAAAAGCTTTTACTGCTCATCAGTTTAGTGTTATCAGTGATTGATGGCCCTAGACTTATTGCTCTCACTCCAACGTTCGCGGCGATATGTAACATGTGCGGCGTAATGGGCGCAATCGTCTTTTTGCACATATGCGCCCCCGACGCATGTTTGCATGCGTGTATGTATAGGTGGGGACTTTAAAAAAAAATTTTTTTTACTTTGTTACTCTTTTTTATGTGTAACCTTAATTTTTTTGGGGGGGAGAACTTAAATTTTTCTTTCCTATTTTTTTTTTCCACGAAAACTTTATTGCTATCACATACGGGGGCTAATTAAACTCCCCTATGTGATAGCAAAATATGTGACAGGTCCTCTTTATGGAGACATCAAGGGTCTCCAAGACCCCTAATGTCACCTAGGACCCCCCAAAAGAAGCTGATGAAGCACAGATCTGCTCCATCAGCTTCTTTTCAGCTTCTGAAGCTGGAGAGTGACACAAGAATGCGGAAGTGATGTATTATACAACACTTCCGCATTCTTGCAGAGGAGAGGGGACCGGAGGGAGCTCGTGTACCGAGCTCCCTCTGATCCCCTGTGACACAGGGGACATGCTGATCTCGGGCTCGCACCAGGCACAGCAGAGCCTAGGATCAGCGGGACAACGGCGGGGCTGGACAGCGGAGGGGACCCCCGATCGGCACCCCATACACGCGATCGTCCGGCTCTACAGCCGGTGGATCGCTTGTATGGTAACAGGCATCGCTGCCTGTTTTTAAAAATCGGCGCGCTCAAGGGGGGGTGTCTGAGCGGACGTCTAAAGACGTCCGCTCAGAACTAGAGACCTTTCGGCCGGCCGTTTATTTACAACGGCCGGCCCTGAAGTGGTTAATTAATAGAAAGCTGCCTTAATTTGTGCCTTTAATTTTTTTGTTTTTTTTTGTTTTTGTTTTTTGTTACACAAATTAGACTTTTTCTGTAAACCCTCTTGCGCTATTACAAATTGCAACTCCCTCCTCATTGGCCTACCTCTACACAGGCTATCCCCCTTCAGTCTATCATGAATGCAGCTGCTAGACTCATCCACCTAACCAACCGCTCAGTGTCTGCAACCCCCCTCTGTCAATCCCTACACTGGCTTCCTATAGCCCAAAGGATAAAATTCAAAATATTAACAACCGCGTACAAAGCCATCCACAACTCTGGCCCCGGCTATATCTCCAACCTGGTCTCAAAGTATTACCCTAACCGTCCCCTCCGCTCTTCACAAGACCTCCTGCTTTCCAGCTCCGTCATCAACTCCTCCCATGCTCGCCTCCAGGACTTCACTAGAGTGTCTCCCATTCTATGGAACTCTCTACCCCAACCTGTCCGTCTATCTCCCACACTGACTGCCTTTAGGCGATCCCTTAAGACTCATCTCTTCAGGGAAGCCTATCCCACCTCAACCTAACCACTGAACAATCACTTTCTCAAACAATCATCCCCGCACAGCTACCTCCTCATGTATCACTTGCCCCTCCCTTTTAGATTGTAAGCCCTCACGGGCAGGGCCCTCCTTACCATCTTGTCTTAAATTGTATTGTGACTGTAATGTCTTCCTTATATTGTAAAGCGCTGTGCAAACTATTGGCGCTATATAAATCCTGTATAATAATAATAATAATACTAAACAGACATTTATCCCTCTATTTCAGGTTTTCGGTGGCCTTGTGTGGATTTTAATAGCATCTACCAGACTTCCGGGCACGTCATTACTTCAAGGATGGGTTATGTTTGTCTCAATCTGTTGCTTCATATTTACAACTATACTCATGCTACTATACTGTATCGGAGCACATGGGGGAAAATCGACCTGGACAACTATAGTAAGATACAAGCATTGCAAATATATTTACTAGTAATATAGGCATGTTATAGCTTTATTAGTTTTTTATGAAAGATTTCAATCATCAAGATTTCAATATTTCATGAGTAAGGAAAATAGAGGGGAATTTATCAAAACTGGAGCAGACAAAAACTGGAGCAGCTGTGCATGGTAACCAATCAGCTTCTCTCATTTTCAAATCTTAACTGAAAAAACTGAAGGGAGAAGCTGATTTGTTGCTATGGGCAACTGCTCCAGATTTTGTCTGCTCCAGTTTGGATAAATCCCCCCCCATAGTCTTTCCCAGTAGGAGCCATTTGGTGATTATACTTATCTTCAAGTCCTTCGGCTATCTCTTTCATTTATATAAAATGTCAAATCTATCCCGTATCATTGCTTTCATCTTGCTCCTCTTGAAGATTCAGTTAGGATATCCCCTCATTTTAAATATTTCCTTTAGGTTTCTACTTCCCCTTTGGAAATCTCATTCTTAAGAGAAATTCCTGCGAATTTGCAGGAACTTTCCAGTAGGGATTCCCTTTATGAGGGGCCATGGATGATGACTGGTGGCATGCAGGACCTTATTTCCGCTGTAAGCTTCCTATAAGTTGTACTATTAAATCTACTATGTACTCTCTGAATCATAAGGTCCAGGAATTCAAATTCATTTCGATCACACTTATATGTAAGATGAATAATACCGTTATTTTGTTCTTTATTCTCTTTTATTATTAAGACCAAGAAAAAAAAAGAAACAATATAAGAACCAAAACATATTACCAAACGCCAAAAACAATATCAACTTAAAGTATACAACAGAACACACCTCTACATTCCAAATTTACTGAAAGGGTGGAAGATTACATTTTTACAGCCACCGACCTCTAAAGGAATAAAAGCCCAAAGCCCTCTTTTTATAATTAGCTATATTTATCGGGGGAAGGGTGGGGGTGTCATTGGAAATCATCCTCTTAGTAAACCACGATTGTCGGCAAAGAGTAAATGATTTTGGATATCCTTACTGAGCATTGTGTCAGTTCAATCATTTTGCAATACAAACATTGAATTGCCCAGAAAAAGCGAGAAAGATGGTGGTTGGTGGATCGTTTTCTTCCCCACCAAGGATATAAGACATATCGTTTCGGAATTGAAATTCGTACGAATTTCTGTAAATTCAAGCATTCGGATCCAAATGACAGAAATAACGTATCTGAACGAATCCGAATGTTTGATAACGAAAATCGTATACATCCGAATTTCATTCGGAAACTAAACACGACAAGCGGGAGAGCTGTTATTTGCAAATGAGTAAGGGGTACTTGTACTCCTAATCATTCACTAAAGGGTTAAACAAAATGTAAATAAACGCACAACACCTAAAATTCCTTTAATTGAACAAAAAACAAAACATGAGTTTTTGACAATTCCTTTATTTAAAAAATAAATGAAGAAAATGTCCCAGGAGGTCATTCTAGCGTCAGCAGCTGCTAGGGTATATAATTCCAGATCTGGGAAATTCAGGCCTCCATTTTTCACAGGTTCTTGTAATATGTGGAGACCAATTTTAGAATGTCTCTTTCCCCAGATGAACCTCCAAATGTTTGAAGCAGCTTTTGATTATTTTTTCCACCGGGATGATAGGAAGCATTTGAAAATGTACAATCAAGGGGGGAAGATAATAATTTTTATCAAACTAATCCTCCCCATATATGTTAAAGTGAGATGGGACCATTTAACAATTCCAGGAGAGCTCTAATCACTGGAGCGACATTTTCTTTATAAAGTTATGCAGATGTTTAGTAATATAAAGCCCCAAATAGGGTATCTTCTCTTTACACCATAAAGGGAGCTCCACCTGGGCCTAGTACCCCTTGCCAGATATAAAGCTTTTGATTTTTCCAGATTTATAGAATATCCTGAAACATACCCATAGGCAGTCATCAAAGAAAGTATTAGGCAATACCCTCTTTGGGTAGAAATGTACAGTAGTAAGTTATCTGCAAAAGCAGTAATTTTCACCTCCCTCTTTCCGACTTGAATGCCCTTAAAGTCTGGCAAGGAATCTAATAATTTCAATAAAGTATCCAATGCCAAATTAAACAGAATTGGCGAGAAGGAGCATCCTTGTGGTGCCTCTCTGCATATTTCATGGATTAGAGAGTTGACCATTTATTAAAAGCCTTGTGACAGGGTTCACCCCCCTCGCTACGCCACCGGCCGGGAGTGTGCAGAAAGGTGGCAGATTGATGGAGCAGCTGCGGCCCAGGGTCCAGGGAGCCCCATCGACCACCAGGCTAAGGTAAGGTGACATTTTAAAAAATAACATTTTAAATGTTTTATTATTTTATGTTACCGGGGCATTTTTAAATGTCCCGAGAACATAAAATACAACTTTTTTTTGTAATACTCACCTGATCTGATTCACCGACAAGCGCAGCATCCCGGCTCTCACGCTGTCATTATATGCATACAGAGCGTGCAGGGTTACTATTTAAACCGGTGCGCTGTGTGCAGCTTCTGAAAAGATACGCTATTAGCGTAGCGGGAGCGAAGCAAAATGCGCAGCAGGCTTCCCCGCTACGCTAATAGCGTATCTTCTCAGAAGCTGCACACAGTGCGCTGGTTTAAATAGTAACCGGAACGATCTGTATGCATATAATGACAGCGTGAGAGTCGGGACGCTGCGCTTGTCGGTCGTTCCAGGGATCAGGTGAGTATTAAAGGGTTATTAAACCCTCTGGCTTTTTTGCATATATATATGGCTAGCGAGCAGTAGATATATGCAAAAAGTTGAAGAAGAAAAAAAAACCCCGCTTTAACACGCTTTAAACTTACCCCGTCTTTGCCGCGCGCTCCCGTCCAAAAATCAGAAACTGCTCAGGCGGCCGCAAAGCATCTTGGGGTGGGCGCATGCGCAGTTCGGATTTTCGGCCGGGAGACGAGGAGGGAGGGGGAGGGGGAAAACATTTACTTTAATATCACTTTAACCACTTCCGGGCCGCAGTATGTCTATAGACGGCGGCCTGCTCTTGGTAATGCTTTTAACAGCAGGTGATTGCTGTGTAACTTACAATCGATCTGGTGTCTGAACAGCCGCCGGATCGTTTGTACCGTGTGGTACCCCCGCAACGGCCACTGGGTCAGTGGGTCTCCCCGCAATGATCAGAGAGAGATTCAGCCGCTTCCAGCCGCTGATCTCTCCTCCGATCACTGGACGCCGAAGTGCTGTGTATTACATCACTTCCGGTGTCACTGTACACAGTCTCCGTGCTCTGTGTCCCAGCGGGGAGGATAGAAAGTGAGAACCGGCCGAGCGCTGCGGGAGGAGAGCGCTGTGTTTGGTTTTTTTTTGGGGGGGGGGCCCAAAAAAAATCTTGCACCAGGGCCCTTTGTTCCTTAGGTCCGCCACTGACAGGGTGGGAGTAGATGTATCCAATATACATGGCAAACATCAGCCCGAAGGTACTATTGACCAAGATACTATTGAGCCATGCCCACTCCTCTCTATCAAAGATCTTTTCTGCGTGTAAATTTAAAAGAATTGCCTTTGGACTATGGCTCTGTGAAGACATCACAGTCACCGCAAACGCTGTGTGAATTCCTACCGTCGAATGTCTATTTTGAACAAAACACAGTTGGTGGGAAGTCACTAATATAGGCAAAAAACTCTGAATACTACTTGCCATTATTTTAGCCAATAGTTTATAATCTCTGTTTAGAAGAGATATGGGCCTATAGGAGTAGACTATTGTAGGGTCTCTTAAAGAAAAATAACACAGCGCTAAGGGTGATCAAATAAATAAAATTAAATACCCAGTGTTGGAAGTGAAAAATTACAATAATTCCTCATAGAATAATATATCAAATATGTGAATATAATAAATAAATAAATGTGCATAAAAAATAATAATATAAAAACGTGATCAAATATTAGATCCCCAGGAAAAACTTTCAGTGATACAACCTTAGATACTAAAAAATTATTCAACCAATATGTTAAAACACAGTGTAGCCAGAATAGTCAGTGTCAAATGAAGACTGATACTTTATAAACCAGTCCCGATAAAAATTGTTACAAGTGTCACTGAGAAAAAAAGTTGTTTAAATAAATTCAGTAATAGACACCTGTAGTGGTGAAAGAAACGGTTCTTCTTAATCTTAATCTTTGAATCAGCAGCCCCCCAAGCAGTGATTACTCACCAGATGTAGTGAGTAAGTGAAGCCCCTCTGGGAGGTATCGCCCCGGTCTTTCAATCCACCCGCTTGATATATTAAATTTTCCTCTCAGCAGTGGATCAGTACAGTAGCCGTTTCTCCCCTGCAGTATCGCAGTTAACCCCGGCTATCCGTCAAAGCAAGTGGCGGCTTCTCTCGTTCACGATCAGCTTGTGCCTCTCTCACAGTCCCGAAAGGTGTTTGAAAGGGTTTAAAAGAAAAAGACAACCCTCATGGTGCAGTAGAATTAAGAACAAAGTTTATTAAAAAGTAGCAACTAACATATAAGTCTAAAAACTTCGGCCGGCCAGACAAAAGGGATGGAATCTTTCACGAACAGCTTGTGTTACATCCCATGTGTTTAAAAAGATCGAAAGATCGGCAGAAAGATCAGCTGTCTCCCCTGCGAGTCCAGTACCGGCATGGTGGGTCTCTCCTAACGGATTGGAGGGAGATCAGCAGGCTTCCAGCCGCTGATCTCTCCTCCGATCACTGGACCTGGAAGTGATGTGCATTACACCACTTGCGGTGTCACTGAGCACATTCTCTGGCTCCTAGAGCAAGCAGAAGAAGCTGGCGAGCAGATCTCTGCTTCATTAGCTTCTTTGGTGTACCTAGGTGACATTAGGGATCTGAAGGACCTCTGATGTCTCCATAAAGAGCACATGTCACATTATATTTGCTATTACATAGGGGGCTTGTTATCCCCCCTATGTGATAGCAATAAAGTTGATTAAATTTAATTTTAGTGTATTTTATCCTAAAAATACTTGTTTGATAAACATTTGTGCAAATACCGTGTGATATAGAAAATTGCAACTAGTGTCTTTTTATTCTACAGGGCCTCTGCTTTCAGAAAATATAAAATAATTTGTGGGTCTGAAGCTGTTTTCTAACCCAAAATCCAGATTTTATCAAGTGTGTGCAAATGTAAGAAACCCCTCTGCAGAAACTGCAGCAAGTGGTTAAGCAGAGGGATGTACAAACTTTGCATTGCTTGTCTCCATTACAACCCCCCCCCCTTTCCTCCCAACCTCCTAATATTACACCATTGTGCCCTATAGGTGGCATTGGTTCCTTGCCAGTGCAGGATCATCAAATAATTTCACATCTCCCTGACAAAAAACCTGCAGTCTGGCCGGGTACAATAGAGAAAATCATATCCCCCTCTCTACGACTACTATTTCTGCTCTGCCTCTCAGGCCCAGGCCGGTGTGCCTTCTCAATTTTGCAAATATGATATGGCTCAAGTCTCAATGCAGAGATGAGATCAAAAGCAAGATATTTAGATTAGATTAGATCTCATATGTCGATTTTCAAGTTCCTCAAGTTTATCTCCCATTGTGGCACATAGGAGAGATTGCGCTGTTAACCGATTTTGTGAGACTAGCAATCGATCCTCCAGATCACTCACTTGTTGTTCCAATTCAACAATCCGTTTAGTATTCGAGGATATTGTTTCAAGAACACATTGAATAGATTTCTGTAGGGTATCAAACTTCTTATCCAAATAGGGCAGGAGTACTTTAGTGACTTCCTCCATACTGGAGTTATCCATCAAAGAAGAATTTGCAGTTACTGATGCTGCCATTGCTAAAGCAATTCAATAAACATCTGACTTTTTCATACAGCCCTCGCTGTTCCCCTCATCTGGTCCACAAGTGTGTCTGGCTGCTGCCTGTGAAAACATCCAGTGCCCTGTGAATGACCAGGGCTGTAGCTACCATGAGTCGAGTGAGGCACTCGCCTGAGGCACATACCCAAGTCTCACACTCCTGCTCAGTCTTTTCCTCAAGACCTGCACCAGATCTCCTCCTTTTCCTCTCCTCCACCACTCAACAGCAGGTACCATCCAGCCATCCACTGATCATGCAGGTGTCCCCCTTACCACCATGTCCAGTTTCACCCCACTCTTCAGGAGAGGAGCCCCATTCAGTGCCTCCGCATTCCCCAGCGGCCAGGAGGAGACCAGCGGTGTCTCCACTTCGGCAGCCGCACTGCCAGACACTTCCCCCTCAGGCAGCACAGGTCCAAGCCTTACAAGGACCCAAGCTTTGTCAGCCAACCCCACAAAGCCCACAGGTCCCTCCCAGCATCTCTCCCTCTCCTCCCGCAGCAGCACCAGGTATGGCTATGGAGTTTTTTTTGGGCTACACAGAGCCCATATAAAATGTGGCCGCAGTTTAGCGGTCCGCCTCCGGAAGTCTCAGCCATTTTTAATAGTACCCTAGCATTATTTTGATTTAATTATGTCATAAAAGAAACAAATTCCTTCTGGGTCCCTGTCCTTGGCACCAGCAAATGAGACACATTACCACATGTCTTTTTAATTTATGTGAAAGATATACATTTCTTTAATCCCATAGTTCTAGGTGGAGGCAGGCATAGGTTGGAGAGAACTATGGGGTAAGTGTTTGTCCCCATAGTTCTCTTAAGGGTCACAGGAGGACATATACTAGCGTCCTCCCGTGACCAAAAGCTCGGTATATCGTGAGCTACAGCTACATTACTGTCGAGATCCACCCAGCTGCGTGAGTGACAGCGGGCTCTGCCTATCTAGAGGCAGAGGCAGAGCCAGCTGTACCCGCCCCCTCCCCCGTCCATTCCTCCAGTCGGCGCTGGAAGATCGGAGCGGGGAGTGGGGGAATCCCTGCAGGGAGCTGTGACTGACAGTCACTGCTCTCTGCAGGGAGATGATCGAGAAATTAGTGAGCGATGGTATGTGTTCGCTCACTTCCAGATCTATTGAGCCGACGTGTGACAGTTTCATTGTCACACGTCGGCTCGAACAATGAGGTTGAGTGAAAATCACTCACTTCATAGTTCTCCTTTAAATATGCTTCATGTGACCAATAAAACTTACAATTGAATAAACATCCTCATTCCACATTAGCTGTTCAAGGAATAAGCAAACGTTGCTTCTACAGTATATCATCATAAGCCTTGCTCTGTATATTTTATTGCAAAGGAACACATTTTACACATTTTGTATTGGATTGTGTGCTGTAATACTTGTTCTGCACTAGTGTAAATCAGTTGTTACCGTTTTCCAGTCATTCTTTATTCTTTGTATAAGGAAAGAATATGCAAAAAAATTAGTGCACATTTTGCTGTTTTGAAATGTGGTAATAACATTACCATTATGAATGTTTGAATTAAAAAAATACTATATACAGTATATATATCTCACACTTTATTGTAGAACTCCTGTGTTTTTCTGCCTTAATATTTCAATGTTTTGTTGTCTTTTAGGATGCCTTATATCACTTCACTGCTGCCTTATTCTACCTAAGTGCTTCAGTACTGCAGGCTTATTTGACAATATTGGTAGCGGATTTGGTTTTCTTCAATTGGTATCAAGAGAACATTGCTGCTGTGGTAACTGTCATATCTATGTCATACCTACTAAATATGTCAATGTTGAGAATATATATGAATTCTACTAAATACCATTAGCTATCTTCTTGTCGTAGGATTGGCAGTGCAGTGGGTAGAACTAGAACTGACAAATGACAGATCTGCCAGTTCATAAAAGTGCTTAGAAATAAACTGTATCTACGATTTGGTTAAAACTAATTGATTATAAAAATGAGCTTTCCATTTCAGCCATCAACCATACATTTTAACACCTGATCATTTTTGTTCCTCTGCACCAGAGCGGCTTAGGCCATATACACAATATTGGGTGTATTTATAAACATTTTGCAGAGCCGTTCATCCTGCAAAACTCCATGAATTATGCTTCTGTGCGAAAAGAGACAAAAATGAACGTTCTCAGTATGTTTTCTTTCCACTGTTTAAAAAAAAACAACTATCAGGAAAATACCACATCATGGCCACTAGATGAAGCTGAGGAGTATCAAAACAAAGTATTTATTTCCCATGTTCCTTAGCTCAGTCTAGTGAATAATCATTGAGTTTTGCAGGATGAATGGTTCTGCAATTGTTTATAAATACACTCCTATGTATTGGTTTACCACGTGCGTTAAGATGCGTTGTGTTAAAGCAGCCTATTAATTTTGAATGGGCTAGTAGTGCACCTTAAAGATACACTTTCGAGGCTGCTTATATAAATAAATATTTGCAGTAAGCAGTTACTGATGCTGCCCTTGCTATAGCAATTCATTAAGCCTCTGACTTTTTCAGACAGCCCTCACTGTTCCCTCACTGTTCCCTGGTCCACAAGGGTGTCTGGCTGCTGCCTTTGAAAACTTCCAGTGCTTTGTGAGTGACAGCAGGAAACAGGCTGAGTTCTCTCTGTATGTGCAGAGCAACTGAACTTACTACTTCACTGATAATGTGCAGAACCTCAAACACACAGCTTCAGGAGTTGGAAGCTTCACAGGCAGCAGACAGTCACCTTAGTGGTGTTAGGCTTAGCACAGGGTGTTTAATGCATGGGAATTTTTTTAAGTAGGGAAGGAGTAGAACCTCTGTCAGGTTTTAAATGCTGTCTTTTCCTTACTCGGAAGATTTATCTTCTCTCTCTTATTCTGACACCAGTCACCTATACAGCAGGTGATAGGAAATCTCCATCATTAGACATGACAGAGGCTCTAAACCCTACTTTATCCACTCCAGAAAACCATTTTTTATTGTTACATGTGTCCCCGTGGGAAAGTTCCCCTCACTTCTTGTTTTGACACCTGTGAAATTGGATGTAAGGAATATTATCACCCAAATTGGGACACTAGTGTAAATAGAAAATTGGCACCGGTTCTATTCTTTTTCCACTTTATTTAAAATTTTAACAAAAGTTTTGGTTGGAGTCAAGCTTTGCCAAGTCTTAAATTAACCACTTTAGAGCCAATAAAAAAGGGAAAACCCACTCTTGCTGACAAGTAAAACCAATCAGAATCCGTCTTTTAGTTTAAAACCTACACTGTGACAATGAGAGTTGGGAACTAATTGATTACAATAAGCAAGAAGACATTTTCCTCATACACCTACCTTGTTGTGTTTAATTTTTACTGTTACATAAACTAAGATTTGTTTTATTTTTCTGCAGGTCTTTGCCTATATTGCAACACTGCTCTATGTCATCCATGCACTGGCATCCCTCTTCAGATGGAAAAGATCTCCTTAAATTAAAAGCCCTAAAAATCTGGAATACAGATGACACAATATATTCTAAGTTACGTGTTTAACTTATATGTTTGCTGAAAGTACTGTTTAAACACAATTATATCTATGCCTGTGAAAGTTCTCATTCATCCAGGTCATTGTATATCTGTAAAAAATAATTCAAGTCAACTGGACTTACTGTATTTTTCTTGAAGACATTTCACTGGTCATCCGTCCAGCTTTCTCAATTCCGAATGACTTGTACAAAAAACTCTCTGGGAATAAATATCGTGAATGTCACTCCAATCCAGATTATGTGGATTGGAATGACATTCACCATATTTATTCCCGTATAATTTTTTTGTACAAGTCATTCTGAATTGAGAAAGCGGTCGGATGTCCTGTGAAACGTCTTCAAGAAAAATACAGCAAATCCAGTTGCTTTGACTTATTTTTTACAGATATATCATTATATCTAGGTCAGGTTTACCAATCGGCTAAATAGATCCGAAAAATATATTTTGTTTCCTATTTCTATCTATTTATTGATGTATAAGCGGCTATAGTCAGGTACTTGTCTCACTTGAAGGTAATGAGTGCTGAGATGACTGCCTGCTAAGAGCAGCATGAAATTAAAAAGTACAAGTGATTGGACCATTGTCTCAGTATAGTCAGTAAGACTGTAAACTTGCCTCACTTGTGATAGATCCCCTTACCTGTTTGGAAAATATTTTGCTATGGCCGCCTAGTACCATGAGGCCTATTTATAGTGAAAGTATAGTGTATTTTCAGCAATCATATAGTTTGAGTTATCATTGCAGTGTTTACCTTGAAATAATGTTTGATGTGAGTTTCACAATTTCAAATGTTTTGTCTTTCATATTTTTGTTATTGTATTAAATATAATGATTTGTAGTTTACCTACTAGAGGGGGCTCTGTATTTGGATCAGCCTCGTTCAACCTCAATACTTAAAAACTGCCACATAATTACTGCATCTTTACTGAGTCAGCCAACTGATAGGCTTACATTGTGAGAAGGTAAAGCACATTTTTGTGTTTAGCAGAAAAGCAGGAAGGAGAGCCTGAACATGTAATACACAAGTATAGCTGCTTCCATAGGCATATACCGTATAATTATCAACTACAAATGGAAATACACAGGGCTATTCACTAAAGGGTGAAGAGTTTGGAGAAGGCAGGAGAAGTGAACAATCTTCTAGGACAACATAGCTGATTTGGAAACATTCTCCAATTCAGCTCACTTTCCAGGTCAGCTATGTTGTCCTAGATTGTTCACTTCTCCTGCCTTCTCCAAACTCTTCACCCTTTTGTAAATAACCATATCTTTTTTTAAATTTACTTGCACTGGTAATTTTTTCAAGTTGATCTCTTTTACATCTATCTAAAAATCAGTGAAAGGATGTTCCCTTTAATAATACAAAATGCAAGTTGCAAAATATTGTAACCAATAGTTTAATAACTAGTCAAGGGCCTGTGTCCATGGGCTTGTATAGATGGCATTATTTGACATCAGTTTGAGATACTTCTGAAATCATTCAGATACATTGACAGGTACATTTGGCATGCAGTTGACTGGGGTTTGTATTCACTTTGACTTGTATGGGGATGCAAAACCTGTTTGAAGTGAACAAAAGCCATTGGACACATGCCCTAAAACAGATGTGAGCTATAACATATAGTAAGTAATCTCTTATTAATTACTAGGGATGCACCGATACCGGTTTTCCGGTATCGAGTACGAGCATCAATGTTTTTGTTTTCGGTAATTGCCGATACCGAATACCGATACTGGAAGTCTCATTAAGGAAGCCAGGCGGCATGTAATAACTCACCACCTGGCTTCCTGATTAGCCGGGAAGCCAGGCGGTGTGTAAAGATTCACCACCCGGCTTCCCGATCAGAAGTGAAGCCGTCTCCATGCCTCATCGTCACCAGGTGAAGAGGAAGCATGAAGCCTGCTTTCTGGCCAATCAGGAGGCTGGGCACCATGTAATGACGTGTTTCCCCAGATTCCTGATTGGTCGAGAAGCTGGCCAATCAGGAAGCTGGGCAACGCATCATTACTCGGTGGAGCATGGAGCCGGCTTCCCGGCCAAGTGACAAGGGAGCATGGAGCCGGCTTCCCGGCCAATCAGGAAGCCGGGCAGCGTGTAATGACTCGCTGCCCAGCTTCCTGATACCGGAAGGTCAAGTATCGGGCTAGGCGTTAGACATTGCTAAGTACGTGGCCCACAGAGAACTTGGTAATACTGGCCTTATGAAATTTGATGATCGCTCAGAGAACGAAAAAACGGAAGGTCCACATTCAAATCAGTAGTCGAGGACCATAGCATTCCACCTATACAAGAACTTGATCTACTGATCAGATGGTTAGGCTCTCAGTCATCGGACTCTGATAAGAGACTTAAACTGTTTACATCCACAAATCAGACAAGAGCCTAATATCACTAGGGAAATATTAGAGAAAATTTACAGCAGTTCTGAAGTAATAAAGCTTGCCTCAATCAAAAGATTACAGAACTTTCCAAGATTGTCCAACAGAGACAACCAGACATTTTAAAGCTATGTGTTATTCTTTTTGAGGACATGTTCACACCAGCCCATCTGCTAAAATGCTGTGTTTAGTGGGCAAGCTAGTTGTATTGTAGTTGTACGCCATACTGACCACTGTTTACATTCTTTTTTTTTTTTTTTTTTTTACTTTATGTGAGTGTATAATATGTACACTCTATTCAGGTCCCCACACAGCAGGGTGGGATTTTGCGCTTTGTGAAAAAATGCAGCATGTTTGCATTTTTCAGCAGCACACTGCCCATCACACCTGCTTTGTGGTGTGAATGAGACACATAGAAAACCACTGTTTTCTATGTCTCCTTGCGGTGACCTGCATTGATTCGGTGCGGTAAAATGCAGCTCACCACAGTATGTGTGAATGGGCCCTGAGTTTGAAATCACCATATTTGCATGGTTTCGGCTTCTTGGGCACTGCACCCAGTGTGAATTCAGTGGTAGCCAAATTGCCTTACAATGGGCAAGAATGAGTTGAAGGTATAAGGAAGAACATCAGGTCTCCTTTCTATCTCTCTCTGTTTTTCAGGAAGGGGAAAGGACCCAAACTCTTACAGGGTTATTCACAAAAGGGTGAAGAGTTTGGAGAAGGCAGGAGAAGGGAACAATCTAGGCCAACATAGCTGATCTGGAAAGTGAGCTGAATTGAAGAATGTTTCCAGTTCAGCTATGTTGTCCTTTTTGCAAGGTAATTTTCACTTTGCAAGATAATTTTCTTTGCTCGTGATTGGGTATTCTTTGCAAAGTGACTTTTCACCATATTCATTAATCTAAAGGAAAATTCCCTTGCAAAGTGTAAGTTCCCTTGGAAAGTGAACAGCATTTTTGCCTTCAGTAAATCAACCCAAATGGATTTCTAAGGAAGCATGACATTTGCTTCAGATGCTGCACAGCTAAAAGGCACTTTGCCAGAGGCTGTAAGGCTACAGCTAAAAGCTCAGAATATAATAGTCATAGGCATCCACTGAAGTTCTTACACCATGTCCAATCATGGCATATCTAAATACAGTGAGCTGCATCACGAAGGACTTTTAGGGAAAACTAGTGCCAAAACATGTTTGGTCAAGCCATTTTCACAAGGTCAACCAAAGAAACCTGTCAGGATGTATGCTGTTTTAGACGATCAAAGCAGTTACTCATTTGCCACTTCTTAGTTTTCCAACACATTTAACATAGGGGGAGAAGTATCATCCTACAAACTACACACATGTGTTGGCACAGTGGAAACAGGAGGAATTGGTCCCGCTGAAGAAATCATTAATTTGAAATGGCCAATAGCAGCCTAGCTAGCTATTCATTCCCCTTCTGCCTCTTGTTTTCTTCTTGTTATTCTGATGACGGCCGCTGTCAAAATAATAATACAAAACAGATAGCAGGGGAATCGCCGGGGGGTAGAACCACCAGGTACCCAGAAAGGTTAACTCTGCTGGAGTAAGCCTTTCCAGGATAAAATGTTTCTCTTGTGGGCATCATATTAAAAACATCCAAGTGTCCCCAGGTGCTGGAAATGACCTTGCACTCCTTCCTATTTGAATTGGTCTCAGGGGGGCTGCTCCTCATTCATAACGGAAAGCTCTCAAAACATGCAAAAAGAAAACACAAAAGAAGAGCGCCCAAGGCGCTCTTCTTTTGTGTTTTGTGCTCTTCATCCACAATGAACATTCATTATCCAGACATCCAAGTTAACAGATACAGACACCTGATCAGTGTATTGAAAACACCAGCAAGGCTGCAGCGGTTGATGCATTTCTGGGGCACGCCCCCTTCATCAGAACCTCAACATTTTCAATACATCGAGCGTGTGTCTGTATCTGCTAACCTGGCTGTCTGGATAATTAATGTTTGGTATGGATGATTATACAGAGCTTCATACAGCACTACAATTGTGAGACTGAGGCACAGTTTGCAGGACACTGAGAGGCATAGGTGCCAACAGTTGGTTTGCATGCAGCAAGATCAGGAGGCAGGCCAAGGTCAGACACATCCAGGCGATGGAGGTGCCGGAGAACATAGTCAGGATATAAGCTGGGTCAGGAGCCAGGGATCAAGATATCTCAGAATCAGATGAGCCTGATCAAAACACAAGAGAAAGCATACAGGTCTGGTCACAGATGGCAGGAGCTGACGACCATTTAGCAACTTCCCTTAGTGATACTCGGGTTTAAATAGGCCAAGTGCTTAATCACACACATTTTCTTACCCCGCAAACGTATTAGGCTCCATTCACACATGAGCCTTGTAATTCGGCCATATGAATATGCGCTGAACCGCTCTAAACATTCAAAACAAATGCATATCAATGTGCATTTTTCAGACTATTGCAGGGACCACATAGCACAAAACTGAGCGTCCCGCAAAATAGTCCAAGCACGATTTCAGGGGTGGATTCCACACATTCGCGGCTATAGTAATAGCGGAATCCGTGCAGATGTAAAGATTTTACTGTTTTTCACTGTCTTTCGCACTGAAAACCGCACGGGAAACGCAAATGCTATATGTGAATGGAGACACAGCTCACGTGGAACAGAAAAAGGTATT